CTTCCTGCAGGTGTACACGACGTGACTGGAGACCGGCGTTTTCCCGTCCAACTGGAAGCGCCAGAGACTCGTCCTGCTCCCAAAGCCAGGCAACCCCCCCGACGAGCCGTCCTCGTATCGCCCGCTGTGCATGCTGGACACGGCGGGCAAGATTCTCGAGAGAATCATATGCGACCGGCTGGAGACGTTCACAGAGAGACCCGGAGGCCTCTTGGAGTGACAGTACGGCTTCCGGAAAGGGCGATCAACGATAGATGCCATCGAAGACGTCATTTCCACCGCCCGTGAGGCCATCGCCGGCAAGAGATGGTACCGTGGCACCAAGAAGTACTGCGCTGTGGTGACACTCAACGTGAGGAATGCGTTCAATTCGGCTCGGTGGGACAACATTCTCGCCGCTCTACGCCGTTTGCTCGTGCCCGATTACTTGCTCAGAATAATTTCCAGCTACTTCTCGGCAAGAGTGCTCGACTTCACCACGGACGAAGGTCTGGAGTCCTATGAAGTCACAGCAGGTGTTCAACAAGGGTCAGTTTTGGGCCCGATCCTGTGGAACGTCATGTATGACGCGATCCTGCGTCTCAACTTCGATGGCGATGTTCGTATCGTCGGTTTCGCGGACGACATCGCAGTGGTGGCTGTCGCCAAGCATCTATGGCAGATCGAACACGATCTGAACGCTGCGATCGTTCAGGTGCGAGGCGCGCTCCAAGCTCTCAGCTTACAAACGGCTGACCACAAGACAGAGGCTCTGCTCATCACAAGTAGAAAAAAAGAGGAAACCATCACCATCACGGTAGGCGACCACAGCATACGCTCGTCCCCCTGCATCCGCTACCTGGGCCTGCAAATCGACGCCAAGCTGAAGTTCGACCACCACCTCCGAACAGCCAGCACGAAGGCAGCCGGTGTGATCGGTGCCCTTACGAAGATCATGCCAAACTCTGGCGGGCCCAGAAGCAGCCGACGCAAGCTGTATGCTCACGTCGTCGACTCCATATTCCTGTATGGAGCCCCCATCTGGAGCACAGCAGCACAAAAGCGAGTCTACATTCGCCAGGCGGAGTCAGCCCACCAACGAGCTTGCCTGCGTGTGATAGGAGGCCGACCGCATGTCTCCTACGAGGCCACATATGTCCTTGCCGGTATACCACCGCTGGCACTTCTTGCGGACGAGCAAGCGCGACTTTACGGCCGCCGCCGAGAGGACGCAAAGGACGAGGAACGCTTGGCAACGCTAAGCAAGTGGCAGGAAGCATGGGACCGGTCGACGAAGGCCCGATGGACGCATCGACTGATCCCAAACATCAGAGTGTGGGTCGAGAGGAGGCACGGAGAGCTGAACTGCCACCTCACGCAGCTCTTGACCGGGCATGGCTTCTTTAAACACCATAGCCGACGCTACGACCACAATCAAAGCGCGCAATGCCCGGTCTGCCCCTCATCCATCGAGAACGCGGAGCACGTATTCTATCACTGCCCGAGTTTAAGCGAAGAAAGAGAGAGACTACACTCTCTGCTCCACGAGGTCATGACGCCGGAAAACACCACCAGGCTCATGCTCGCGAGCGAGCCGAACTGGCTCGCAGTTGCTTCTTTCGCCTACTCAGTCGTAACTAGACTGAGAGACGAGGAAACAGACAGAAGGTGATGACCGGACGATGCGGCTGGAAGAAGACGCCATTCCAACCAAGCCATCACGAAGCGCATAACGCTAATTTCTCCATCCCCGTGAAGTAATGCCTAACGGCGGTTTCTGCGGGGATGGAACAAAGGGAACTCGACGCGGATGTATTTACATAGTCTATGTACCCTTAAGCAATATGTTTCATTTTCACTTCTATTGATACATTTAACCTAATGTAAACTGCTCGGTGTCAACAACACTTGTCAGCACACATCATGAAAAAGTCTACTTTGTATTTGTACATGATCGTTTTTTTGTATTATCTATTTTCCAGTCTCGAAATTCACATTTTTTTCGAAATTCATGCAAATCACGAAGTTTTCAACCGTTTGTAACTCATCATAGAATGACTTGAGCAGGAAAGTGTAAAAAAGCTTTTTTGTTGAAATTTCTCCAAATTTTTCGAAAAAATTACTATGAAGTGATGGGAATACTTAACAAACTTCATACTTGTGAAGTTGCGCTATAGGCGAACGTCGGAGCACGCAAGCAACGCATCATAAACGCGTCTGATTTGAGGTTTTCGCGTGAAGGTGTGCATGAGTTGCGACCATTATAGCCGGTACCACTGTGGCCTTTTGCGCGTGTAGTACCACGTGACTGCACGAGCGGCCCGTGCCCGATTACACGTTGCGAACTCGGAGCGAAGATCGTCGCATGCACGTGTGCAGACGACGAGAGAGTATAGTTGGAGCAGTGAGAGAGTGACGATCGAAGATTCGTAGTTGGACCACTGACCAAAGCAGAGCTCTTGGTACGCGAACGTGCGTACAGAGACTAGTGTGTGAGTGGTGAAGAGTGCTGTGGGGTGAGAGTGAGTTGAAAGCGGGTATCAGTGAGACAGTGAAATTGGTGGCCACGTAATCGAGTATGAGTGCTGGCGATTCGTGCGGCGCACCAAGTCGTCATCGAGCGCAACGTGTTTCGACCCCTCCGGCCCGTCCCTTTTTGAGTCTGTGGCCAACAGACGGTTGCGTGGAAAGCAGCAGGAACTTCTGAGACCCCGGCGACGCGGAGTCTACGCGTGTGGTCGCGAGCCTCGTGAGCGAAGAGTACCTTGAGTAATTTATTGGTATTACCGTGCTTTGCGCCGACCTTCCAAACGGCAACGAAGCTCGCGTTCGCGACGACGTGTGATTGTGAGAGTGAGAGCTTCGGCTCTGTGTGAATGAGTAATTCAGAGTAGTTTCAATAAAGTGGTATATTTGTATTAATTGAAATTCTCAGTGTCATTATTTGTACGACTCGTCAAATTCCTTTCCTCTCTCTCTCGCGGACTTTCTCGTTTTACAGGTACGTTTTTAGGTGCAGTGTTGCAGCTAACGGAGTCCTCGCTCCCTACTCGTCGGCGTCCCCTCTCGGAGAAGAGTCGTGCTCACGGCTCCGAGGTCATATCGTGTTCTTCCCCATCCTATCTAGCTAGCCGGACCCTGGTCGGCGACGAGAAGTCGCTCGTGTGGCGCGTCGTGAAACGACCCGCGCAGACGGTGAACACGGGGAGTTCACCGTCACATACTATTAAAAGAAAAATAAAACTCAAAAAATGTTGTAATAGATTGATATTTTGTACAGCTCGGAAAAATCCGAGAGTATTGAAAAACCTAAGAAAAACATCGATAAAACTATTTTCGACTAATTACCGTTGTTTGGGTCTTTTTTCGTGGTCAGATTATTAAAATTTACTTCTTTACAGAAAATTTGGACAATTTCCAAAAAAAAGCTCTCTTGCTGTTTTCCATTAAAATTGGTTCATACTGCACTAGGAATTTGTTTTGAAATACTTGCAATAAGTATAAATTTCGAAATAATGCCCGTTTTAGATCTCTGAAAAAGGTTGATAGACGGTCCCAATAATTATACTAAAATTTTAGAAGAATTTTGACATATTAAATAATTTGTTTATCATGTTAGAAGCATAAAAAACTTTTAGTAGCTAATTGATAAAAAATATGAAATACTTGTGATGAATTAATACTATGTAGAAAAAGTCGCTTTTTCATGTCTAAATTGCTCCTGTATTGAAATGCTTCTAATTTTTGATCTCGAGCACCTAAAAACTTTCTGAAACAACCAAAATGTGCGTATTTTCTTGGCCTTTTCAAAAAAAATTGACTTAATATCTACCAATAGTACCCATAAAACGCCATGGGAAAAACTAAAACATTAAAGAAAAGTGGTGTATATCTCACATTATTTATAGATCATCTGGCATGTGGACTTTATCGGGACTAATTTTAAAAAAAAAAAGAGACAAAACTCTTTAAATCAAGCTCACCCTGGTATTTTAAAATAATTTTTAGCGCAATCCTTACGATTTTGTTGAGAAAAAGAACAGTGTGCGCAGTACCGTGTTGCTTTATTTCCTATCGCCTAGCAGTCCAACTAATACGCTTCGTAGCAAAAGTATCGGTCGCACACGACCCAACACCGCAAGCGGCCCAATCTCAAGTGTCTCTCGTCTCTTCGGAGTCTGCGCTCGACACACACACCAACAGACACGCAGCGCGCTCGGCATCCCCTCTCCCCGCATACACACACACTACACACGCAGTACAGTATTAAAATAAAATAATGTTTTCAATAAAAAAATTTTTTTTTAATTTTTTTTCAAATTAATTATTAATTAATTTGTTCAATTTTTTTAATAAAATTAATAAATAATTCATTTAATATATAATTTAATAAAATAATATATAATTTATTTAATGAAAAATTTAATTAGTTAATAAAATGAAAAATTAATTAAAAAAAAAAAAAAAAGTGTTTATTATAATCGAATACTTGAAATAGATATGAAAATAAGAGAAAAAAATTAAAATGTTTTCAACCCTCATTTCTGAAGGCACCTTTCATCTCTTATCGTGAGCCCGATGTTTCTTCTTTTTTCCAGGTGACAATATTTCTATGTGAAAATTTCTATTTATATTTTTTGTTGAAAAACTAAAAGTTTCACAGAATTCCCGAATGTGAAGTCTTTTATAGGTCCAAAACATGGGAAAAAATCGGATCGGTCACGGACATAAAATGTTGTCACTTTTGGTGCTAATGGGTTAAAATTAGAAAGGGTGTAAAAAAAATTGTGAAAAAAATGTAGCAAAAGTCTAGCTTATGAGCTCATGCGATATTTTTCCCATGTTTTATTTCTTCATTTTATCTTCACTTGTGTACAATAACATGAAAAAAGCATGTTTGTGCATAACGATATGAATACATTCATTGGAGTCCAGATTTTTTTGATCATGTTTTTGAATTTAAAACTACTGTTGACTTGTTGTTGAATTATTTTATTTATACGCTTTATTTCATCTTTCAGAGTGCCCCATATTGCATGTGGAAAGAGTCAAGCAAAAGATTAGCAGGAAATGCTCAGTTTGAAGGATACAGCATAGACTTAATCCATGAAATATCCAAAATACTTGGATTTAATTATACGATTCAACTTGTACCAGATGGCCTATATGGATCTCTGAATAGAGAAACTAGAGAGTGGGATGGAATGATCAAAGAATTGTTGGATCAAAAGGCAGATTTAGCAATCGCAGATCTTACAATTACCTACGACCGTGAGCAAGCTGTAGATTTTACTATGCCTTTTATGAACTTAGGTAATACATTTTTTTTGTACTGTTGGAGTTTCAAATGATTCTAGCCTAAGAAAAGAACTTTTTTTAACGTAACTACAGAAAACTAATAGTGTAAGAAAAATGAAAAAATTGTTAAAATTTTTATGAACTTTTTAAAGCTGGAATGAACATCTTATAAGACTTTTTTAATACATTGTTTGCCAATAAAACTGTTTCCGATAATATATTCCTGATGGTTAGTGAACAGTTTCAAAATGAAGGTATTTTTTCAGTCGTCCAAAAAGTCGCATCGACAATAAATCACATTATATGATCTTCTAAGTCTTAAGAATAATCATTGGGCTCTAACTATTACGAATATTATTTTATAGACTGCAAAGTTTAATGTCTCATTTAAATTCAATTCAATATCCTATATATTACTCCTTGAAAACTTTTTAAACGTTTTTGCGTCCCCAATTTTTCTGATTTCGATTTCTAAAAAAAAAAAAACATATATATACATATATGTATATATTATATAATATATATATATATTATATATAATATATATGTACATATATGTACATATATGTACATATATGTACATAT